AAAGGACAATCCTCTGCTGTCAATCACAGCTAATGTGCCTAATTCCCACCTTTCCTTCGCTCACGTAGACATTCACCTGACAGAATCAAAAAGTAGTTGACTCTTCCTTTCCTTAGTCAAATGCATAGATTTAGGTTAGCATTGATGGACATACAGGACATGTTTAAGTTAAGCAATGTTGCCTTAGGTCAATAATCAATGAGAAACCTCGAGTGGGTAGACTAAGAATGCACAGCCAACAACAAAATAAGGTTGATTTGTTTGCTGCTCAGTTTAGCGTATACACAAAGTCTGTGGCAAAATGAAATAAAATCGAGAAGCAAAATAATAATAATTAAAAAAAATAAAAATGAAAAAGAAATACATTTTCCCATGATACTAAGAGTAAAAGAACCGTAAATATTATTACCCCACTTGGTTTCGTCAAACGCTATAAGGTGGCGCTAGCTAAGTCGCTCCAAGATGTAGAACTACGTGGTAATTAGGTTCCCACAGGTGCACGGCAGTTTTAACGGTCCACTGACAACTCAACTCTCTTTTCACTTTCCAACGCATGACGCCCGCACGTGTCTTCTAAAAACTTCCACCTATTAAGTCAGTCAAGCTTTCTCTTTGGTTGTTACAACTCGGCGCAAGGCTGACTTGAACGCAACCATTATAACGATGCTTATACTTACCTACCTTAACTCCTGAAACAAAAAGAAAACGGACATACAGTGGCCTAAGAAAAGTTTTTAGCCAGGAGAAATAAACTACATCCAATTTCAAAATTTAATTACGTAATCCCTATTCAAAATAAACAAACAGTATTTGGATTTAGTATGGAGTAGGTTCTCCATTTGCTAATTTCAGTGCTTGTATTCGATTTTTCATGGATTTGATCAAATTGTCAACAATCGTCTGAGCCATATTTTGACGCTCCTTTTCTGTTTCTTTAAGGGTTGCCACTGACGTGATTTTCGTTGCACGCTCTCGAAGTCTTCGGTTAAGGTGCTCCCAAACGTGCTCTGTTGAATTCATGTCAGGACTTTGGGCTACCCATGGCAGTGACTTGATTCCTTGCGATTCCTTCCAGGCCTTTGCTACTTTGCTCGTATGACATGGTGCTCCATCTTCTTGAAAAAAGTAGACATTCTTGTCAATCTGACTGGTTCCAAATAGTGGGAGTAGTCCTTTCTCTAATATTTGACAGTATTTTGGACCATTCAACCGCTCGTCAACAAGAATCAACTCAGATTTCCCTCCAAACCAGACAGCGTCCCACAACATTACTCTAATCCCTTCATGTTTCACCGTCGCCTGCAGACATTCAGTGTTCTAAGTCTCATTCTGATTTCTTCAAGCATAAACCAATCTCGAATTAGAATATTGGCAGAATTTACTTTCATCTGACCAAATTACAGACTGCCAAAATTCATAATCTTTGCTCTCAAATTATCTCGCCCAGTAAATGCGAAGTTCCTGTTAACCACTGAAATCAAGGGCTTCTTTCTTGAAACTCTTCTTTGATAGCCTATCTCTTTCAGAATTTTTCTCATCACATATGGCGACATTTCCATGCTGTTGGCGACATCTTTGATGCTCTGACTACGGTTTCTAATGACTTCCATATTCAGCACCATTTTCGTTCGCTCAGACACGATGCTTGCTCTTCCTGAACGTTGTTCCACACTACAACGGCCTTCTTCATTAAATTTCTTGACAATATTATTAACCGTTTGATGATTAACCTGGAGAAAACCTAACAATTTCTTTGTTTGATTTTACTACTATCCTATTATTTGCCTTTGTTGAAATCCATTGATTTCCTTACTTCCACGAACCTTCATTGCAAGATATAAGTCAACTATTGTTCAGAGATCAGAGTAGTTTGATACTAACATGGTATTGTCTGAAAAAAAACGAAAGAGACTTTATTAAACAAGCCAAAATTTCTGTAATCAAGGGTGGCTAAAAACGTAGCACAGGCCACTGTATACAAGAGACATTGAGGACTTTGTTTCACGACAGGTTATATATAAAAAGAGAATAAACGGTCCGTGGTAGGAACTTAAGTTTTTGTATGATTCTTCTTTGTTTACATATGAAGAGGCACCCCATCTACAATAGACACCAACACGTAACCTTTTTAACTTTAGTCTGCTGAGTAGCGTTGCGCAGAGCAGATTACCTATACAAAACAGAAGAACAAAGAACCCTTCAAAGTAGAAGATTACTGAATGCGATTATTTTTATAGATGTAGAATTATAGATTATTAGGATATGTAGGATAGATAACGGTTGACTCCAAAATTGAGAGGTTAAGATCGTAATGGTTGGGGAAACATCCTCATCAGCAGCTCTTGAGAAAAAGAATGACTGAATGGAACTTCCTTCTTACCAATGGAATACAAACGGAACATGATGGGTCTTGGATGTAAAGGTCTGAACTGGTAAAACTAGGTGATATATGGAATTTTCCAGGGAAACAGCGATTGAGATGCAATTGACTTGCAATAGGCTTGCAACATTGTCTCTGGGGAAACGGGTTGTAGAGTTGAAAATAATTCATTGCTATATCGGGTGTAATAGAAAGATTGTGTAACAACATAATTGTCCATCCCATGAAACATTTAATATCTAAAAAAAAAATACCATAAAACTAATTGTGTTTCTTTTTTCTAGGTTTTCAGATAAGACGTTTAGCCATCTTGAGAGCATTTGTCGTAAGAATCACTGAAAAGCCCTTTCAGCTAGAAAGAGAACAGGTTAAAATCGTTTTGTGTCACCCCCGCTGTCTACCCAAATGAACAATGGTAAGAGGTAAAAGATCATGCAGGCTTCAGTAATGGTACGAACATTCATACTCTGGCTTTCATCTTCAAAGTCCATTCAAGAACCATCAAGAGAATGGTGAATAAGTTTTAAAAAAGAGGTAACGATAGCAATGTAATTGATTTCCCTTCAAAAAAAAAAAACGAAATCTATTTTCGTCTTCCTCGAATGACAATCCTATCCTCAAGAAGGCTTTTCTGATATCCCCCACCCCAGCAACACGTACTTATTAAAACGGAACAATAACAACTGTTTCAACACGTTTCTCATAAGATTAATTTTGGCAGTCTCGTTCAGTGAAATAGCACATTTGTTTTTTTAGCAAGCAATTAAAAGCCCGTCTTATTTTAGTCGTGAGCTGTTCATTTTCTTTGGAGACACGACTATGAAGTAATCAAATATAATTTTTGTATTTTCTAGGGGGACTTCTATTTTCTCTCTTACCCCTTTTCTCTCTTGTTCTCGGAATACTTTTAAGTGATCATGATATTGGTAGCTTTGCTCCAATCACCTCACAACTCTATCCAATACTTCAAGGGACACGGATTATTTTGGTGGAACCAAATGTATTCTATCTTCCAACCAATAGAGCTTCGCGTAGTAACATTTGTTTTTAAAGACTATAGACTCTTTGAATTTTACTTTTTTTTTTTTTTAAATCGTACTTAGAAAGGTCCTCTTCCTCAGTAAGTCCCAGAGTCTCAATGGAAAACATATGTTCAATACCTCGTTCCAAAGAACTCTTCTTGAATCTCCGCAGGGATCTGCACGAGAATGTCTGCGCTCCAACACAAAATTCACCACAGAAGAAGCACAGGAAGCCATTTTGAGAATTACTATTTTATAACACGTAGCGTTTAACGCAGAAGATTCTACCGGGACAATATGGTGAGAGTACAAAAACGAATAATACCCTTTGTGGTTTCCCACGCAGAACCATGAAGACACTTGAACAAAATCAAAACTGGAACAGGTCAACTGCTAACAAATCCTCAAGGTTCACAAAATGTGAATTAATTACAACATCAGCGGCAGAAAATAGCCAAGATCCTTTAGATTCTCAATAATCTGACCAAAGTGAGAGAACTCCAGTTTCATGTCAAATATACGGTCAATTGACACAGGGAGGGGTCCCGTGGCACCCGGAAGCAATTCCACTTCCAGAAGCACTTCCATAAACGTTTTTGTTGAGTACCCATGTACATAATGATAGCATATCCAACGCCATTACCCGCAAGAGGCTCACATTTAAGAGCTTCCAAAATATCACTGGAAAATACGACGTCTGGCTTCCAGAGTCCAATAGGCAGTTACACATACACCATCTTTTTCTTCTTTTCAGTAAGACACTGTAAATAGACAAAATGTAGGGCTGATATGTCAAACCTGTATTAATACAAGTGTTAACAACATATTTTTAGGTACAACATCCGGACACAACGCACTATGGTGGTTACGAGTAGAACAGTATTTACAGAGCGAAAGAAATCTTCCCCTATTTCAGGGACAGTTAACAGCAGAATATTTCTCGCTTACACAAAGAGGCACAATTTAAGCTCAGCGCACCGCTCTACTCTGTCCTGGTGAAAAACATATTTCAGGCAATCATCTTTCCAGTGTCCATTTGCCACACAAAATTTATAATGCTTAACAGGTGAAAAAGTTCTCCAAAGCGGAAGACATTTTTTTTTATTTGGATTTTATGGACTTGAAGTTACCAGTTCTATAAGGGTCGGAACGAACAGGTTCAAACCTGTTCTTTCGGACCCTTATAGAACTTAGTTCCATCAAAGTTTTAATAATATCGTTATAACTCCGCAGAATGTTACTTAATGTAGGATAATTGGAATTATATTTCTGCATAGGTCCTCATTTCTCGATGTAGTTTTGAAAGTACAATATGACTCATCAATATGTACCCAGAAGTATCTTCCTCAAGAAAATCCAATGAAAAATTGATCCTTAATTCCCATAAGCTGGCTTTTATTCTATTTAAGAACATTTGAACACCTTCGAATCTCGAGTTACGTGACGGCTTATACTCCAAAATCTGCTTTGATGTCTCATCCAATATGAACCCCTCATCCAAAAATTCCTCGTTGAGTAAGGATAATGCGACTTCATAATTCTGGTCATAGATTGACAGATGTTGAATAATTAGAAGCGCATAATCTGTTAAACATCTC